CTTTCAGTGTAAATGCAGATTGAAGTTGAAAATTTGNTAATAAAATAATAAAAAATAACCTATTTTTACATATATTTTTTATTCATTTCATTAAANCCACTAGAAATGGCAATGTCCATATAAAATGTGGGCAAAAATAAAATTATGGACGGATTTAAATGAAAATTCGCTTCTTAGTAAAATTGAGGACGCTAAATTCAAAAATTCAATTGGTTTTTGGATAATTTTCATACTTTCAGTGTAAATGCAGATTGAAGTTGAAAATTTGGGTTCTTGTGGCTTTTAAATAGGTATGTACATATAGTTCGTTCTATTTTCAAAAATGAGGTGTCAAATGACAGTGCTTGGCCTGTAGCTGTGCAATAAGGCATTTTTTTTTAAGGGTTGCCGCCTGTTACAAATTTTATTAAAATTATTTAATAAGTTAAATGAGTTAGATATGACAATATGGGTATCAATTGAACTAGTTTTGAAAATACTTTACCTCTAAATGACACATAGAAGGGTTGCCACATGTTTAAAAAATTCACTTTAATTAAGGGAATAAGGTAACTGAAATATATATATCAATATGAGTATAAGACAAATGAAAAAATTTGACATATTTAGCAAGAAATAAGTGGAGAGTAAAAACATTCCTGAGTTAATTTAAGAGTCCAATAATTTAAAAGAACAAACACGATGGCGTAATCCTATGGTTTGACGTAATTATTATTTTATTTTAACTAAATTCGACTTTACAAACAGGTGGCAACCCTATTCGTAATATTTTTAAGCTAAAACCTTCTTAAACCTCTTTCGTCTGACTCCCTTATGGTGATAGCTATCCATTTCAATTACCTAATTCCTTTAATTCAAGTGGAATTGGATTTTTTAAACAGGTGGCAACTCTATACATGTAGTTAATACAGATTTCGTTTGATACCCATCTCTTAATAATTCATTTAACTTATAAACAAATTTGAATTTAATTTTTTAACAATCTAATTTTTTAGCAGGTGGCAACTCTTTAAAAAAAATAAACCTTCTATTGTCCACAGGTTAAGATTTTTAATCTGACACTTCATTTTTGAAAATGGAACGAATCGTGCAGATCTCAAAGCACTGACAAAAAATGAAAAACTTATTTTATGCATTAGCGAAAAACGCATTACTTCAGAAAGTGCAAAAAATGAGCAGGTTTTTATTTCTTCTTTTGAAAGCTAAAAGCCCGTACTATTTAATAAAATAATAAAAAATAACCTATTTTTACATATATTTTTTATTCATTTCATTAAAATTTTTTGAAATTTTGTTTAAAAAAATTGTTTTTTTGGAACACCGCAGGGACACCCTATGTTTAATTTTATTCCCAAATTTTAATTCCTGTAATTCTCTACTATCTATGTGGAAACNAACTAGTTTTGAAAATACTTTACCTCTAAATGACACATAGAAGGGTTGCCACATGTTTAAAAAATTCACTTTAATTAAGGGAATAAGGTAACTGAAATATATATATCAATATGAGTATAAGACAAATGAAAAAATTTGACATATTTAGCAAGAAATAAGTGGAGAGTAAAAACATTCCTGAGTTAATTTAAGAGTCCAATAATTTAAAACAACAAACACGATGGCGTAATCCTATGGTTTGACGTAATTATTATTTTATTTTAACTAAATTCGACTTTACAAACAGGTGGCAACCCTATTCGTAATATTTTTAAGCTAAAACCTTCTTAAACCTCTTTCGTCTGACTCCCTTATGGTGATAGCTATCCATTTCAATTACCTAATTCCTTTAATTCAAGTGGAATTGGATTTTTTAAACAGGTGGCAACTCTATACATGTAGTTAATACAGATTTCGTTTGATACCCATCTCTTAATAATTCATTTAACTTATAAACAAATTTGAATTTAATTTTTTAACAATCTAATTTTTTAGCAGGTGGCAACTCTTTAAAAAAAATAAACCTTCTATTGTCCACAGGTTAAGATTTTTAATCTGACACTTCATTTTTGAAAATGGAACGAATCGTGCAGATCTCAAAGCACTGACAAAAAATGAAAAACTTATTTTATGCATTAGCGAAAAACGCATTACTTCAGAAAGTGCAAAAAATGAGCAGGTTTTGATTTCTTCTTTTGAAAGCTAAAAGCCCGTACTATTTAATAAAATAATAAAAAATAACCTATTTTTACATATATTTTTTATTCATTTCATTAAAATTTTTTGAAATTTTGTTTAAAAAAATTGTTTTTTTGGAACACCGCAGGGACACCCTATGTTTAATTTTATTCCCAAATTTTAATTCCTGTAATTCTCTACTATCTATGTGGAAACAAAAAACGTCAAACCAACATTTTATTTCAAAGAATATATTTTTGACATTTTTTTCTGTGAAGAGCTTACGCATGGCTATGCTCTTATTAAAATCCTTAATATAAAATTTGTCGTTTTTAGTGGCTTCCTGGCGGCATATAATTAATTTTTTAGGGAAATGTCTGTTTAATTCTTTTTAGTGGATAAATTGTCTTTGCAAAAATACCAAGGAAGTTCACATTGCAGATAACGAATTTTTCGATTTATGCCCACTTAGGCGGCACTGTGTGGCGTGGTAATTTCAGGCGGTATTACCGTTGTGCGAGTTAAGTGTCAAATCGATATATAATTATAAAAATCTTAAGGTAAGAATGAGGGACTGCAATACAGCGAGAGTATCAGTTTGACAGAATAAAAAATAACTAAAAATCATAGAAAGTAAGTTTGCTGGCTATGTTTATGGCTCTCTTATATTCTATGTTTTTTGTGATAATAAAAGTGCTGCCACGATTATCCGAAAAATGGTTTTTGGGTCCAAGTATAGGCAGGCTACACTTAAATTAAAGAAAACACTGAAAATCAGGATTTAATCGCTACAAATATGAAAAATCGGGACACTTATGCGACCCGACTTTTAAAAAATATTGAGCGGGAGAATTTTCTCAAAATCGGTACTGTCCCGCTAATGTAGGGCTGCCTGACGTCCCGGTTTTCCCGGACATGTCCGGTTTTAGACTATTTGTCCCGGTGTCCCGGTCCAACCTTAAAATGTCCCGGGTTTCGTTTTAGTGTCCCGGTTTTTGATTTGATTGCACAAATTTGAATAAAAGTTCGAAAATAACTACACTAAGACAAAAAACGCGTTGTAATATTCAGAAAAATGTTATGAATTCAATGAGGGAAATAACGCATTGTAAACCTGAATATTTTCTATTTGATTATCGTTTAAAAATGTTCGTAATTAAAAATAAAACTTTCATAACACGCACGCGTGGTGTTGATTCAAACTTAATATTTTAATTCACATTTACATGTCTGGCTGTAGCTGAGTGCGCGAAGATGCTTACCACAATTTGCTAATTTCCAGAGGGTCA